CCAACAGGAACAAGTGTTTATTAGTCATTGGGACGGGAATATACATTTATAGGCCTCCATCGCAGATAATACTGCTTGGTATCACAACTTGAAATTGAATACTTTAACAATCATAGAGATAAAATTAAACTAACTGGCGATTTAACAAAGTACATTATGAGAATATTGGACTTAGAAACATCCAGTGTCTTGCAGGATACGGAATAATGTCACACATGAGTCTGGCCACTTTTGGTGATGTGATCCAAATTGGTCTTCATCTCCTCGAGCTTTCGCATGTCACTAATGGAGGAGTTGCACTTATCCACCACCAAGCTGTGGTAGAAGTGAGCAGCAAACAACACAAACGTGATCAGAACTGGGACGACGATTATGGTAGCAGCCACTGCGGCCGTAAAGCTGTAGTCCCAGAACTTCACCCAGCACAGAATAGCGACCTCCAGCATGAACAAAAACAGGCCTAGAATGGTGGAAAACGCCCAGGCGAGCTCGATAAAGCCCCGCATTCGCTCGTGAGGGCTTTCGGTTATCAGTTCGCAGATTTCCAGCTTGGCGATCGACTCGATGTTCGGCAAGATGTACGTGGAAATCATCAGAGCGAAAATATGCACCGCAACCAGCACTGTAGTACAGACCGCAAACATGACGAACAGCCATTCGGGAACGTTCGTTGGCGTGTTGATCTGCAACTCCACCTGCACGAAAATTGCGTTCAATTCACATTGGGTTGCCTGCAAATTGCCCAAAAGTTACCATCGCTATCATAGCAAATCCAGAGAGTAGCTCTGAAGTGGTAGCTGTGGCCTTCAGCTTGGCTCTGGACTTATGCAGCCGCCTCCAAGACAGACCCTCGGGCGTATTGGACAGAGACTTGATGCCGTTCTTATTGGTGTCTATGTCGTAACATCGGCAGTAACACTTGGAACTAATCGTTCCCGAGCTTTCCTCATCATGAGCGCCTTGAAGCTGTCAATGAAATAATTGAGAGCAAATGGGACTGCTGGCAAGTGACTTACCCTGGAAGGCGGTGGGGGTGGAATGTAAACAGGTGGAGGTCTGATACCCCCTATGGATATGGTGCTGGAATTGCAGGAGAACGGCGGAGTTCTTTCGCGTGAAATCGAGCCAATGGAGTTGTCCAAACCTGGAGTCATCAGCAAAGAGAGCGGACTTTCAACTGCGAGAATCTTGGGCCTGTTGAATGCTTCTACGATGTTCAAAGACGTTGGGCGCGTGTTCGTGGATCGCAACTGGCCCTAGTTGAACAACTGCGTTAAACCAAGCAATTAAAAAACGAACTATCTACTCACCCAGGAACTGCTGAGTTGCCTCGATTGCTGTGTGTAGAATAGATCAGCTGACGTGTGATGTCGCTTCATTTTCCTGTGTTGATTCTTGGCCGCTGTTGAAAAGTTCACCTGCGTGGATTGGTCCATGACAACTGCAATTTCAACCATATAGTTACGATTCCATCAATTCCATGCTCTCTGAAGATTACAGAGTTATTAAGTGAGCTGGAAATTGCTTTTTATTCAACACGTTCGAGTGGACCTATCGGTACCATATCATCAATTTTGGCCATACAAAACGCGCCGGAAGTTTGCGGGTAATAGTTAAACAATTTAGTTGTAATTATATCTGGATGAACTTATATGAACGTACAGGGTGTCCTCGAAACAAAGTCATGTCTTCGCATGCGTTTTAAGTCCCGCGGTTAGAAGCGCAATTTTATGCTCATTAGCGCACTCAGCTGTCCAAACAATCAGAATGCTCAAATATTGACAAACTAATTTTCTACACACGAATAATCATCGTCAATAATACACTGTTTTTCGGGTTTCGGCAGATTCCCATTTTCATTCTACTTAAAAGTTCGACTTTAAGCTACCCTATACACGATGACCCACACTTAATGATGATACGAAAGTGTTTCTATTGGTTGGAGATCTGTCAATTCATTTGGAATTCCCCCCATTAATTTTCGGAAGTGGCGGGATTTTTGATAGCCTGACGTTCGGTTGTCAAACTGACAAACTGCCGCAATATAATTTATCGGCCTCCAGAAAACAGGTAAAAGTACTATGAAAAACTTCCAGAAAAAGCGAAAAGTGAGTGAATCTTAAGGTTGTAGTGATGGATAAGTGGAAATGCATGGAATCTCGCTTGAACTTCAGAGGTGGGAAACTAAAAATGCTGAAAAACTTAAGCACTTGGGAAATGGAATACATAATGGTGACTTGTCAGGTTAGTAGACAAAAAAATGGTGTGCGTCACGGGACGCTCGACAGAAGTGATAACTTCATAAATTAATAGAAACCATAAAATATTGAACTTGTTTAACGCATGATGTCAATAATAATTTTATTTTATAATTTTAATATTCTTGTTAGTCTAATAATTTATAAATGGATCAGGAATAGCTAAAATTTAATTTAATTTCCTTTTGAATGTAAAATATCTTTCTTATTTGCAACATTTAACATTCTTTAACGAGATGTTGTACATATTGCTCTTCTTGGGTTTGTGTAAACTCTTCTGCTTGAGTTTCTGTATTTTTTGTCGTAATTTCTTATTTGCTTTGTATAATCTTTGACGTTCAGCACTAGTTTTGGCTAGCACTAGCACATGGTGCATGAAAGCTACTTTGAGTTGATCTATTACTTAATGCTCCTTTTTTAGCACGAAATAGTTTTTGGCGTTCAGCATTACTTAATACTTTTCGCATTGTAGCATGTTTTTGTGACTGCTCTTGTGTATGTTGTTTATGAACGTCTGCTACAACTTGTATTTGAATAGGACTAAAAAATCAATTAATTTTGGT